TGACAAAATAATAATTTATAAATTATCAAGGGCTCATGAGGGAGGCGGGAGCGGGGAGGGAGGGGGAAAATGAGGACCTAATGCCAGGGGCTTAAGTGGAGAGGAAATGTTTTAAGAATGATGAGGGCAATGAATGTACAAATGCGCTTTACACAATCGATGTATGTATAGAGTGTAATAAGAGTTGTATGAGCCCCTAATGAAATGATTTAAAAAAAAGAGAGGGGAAAAAAAAGATTACGAGGGGACAAAAATCAGGCTCAGAAATTGTTTAGGAAAAAACAAAGAATCAAAACCCAAGTACAATATGTCAACAGAGACTGAATCATGAACTTTCAAGGAGAAATGTTAATGTGAACTGTAAATATAATCATTTCATACTGATGTTAAATGTCCTCATTTTAATAACAAATGGCAAACAGAACAAGGAGTTTATGTAAGAAGAGAGAAGTCCTTATTAGGAAATAAACATTTCCTAACATTTTAGGGGTGAAGGGCTCTGCATTTATAACATTCTGTTTAAATATAGCAACATGCGGAAAAAGAACAAATACAACTATACACATAAACATATATACACAAATAAGAGAGGGAATGAATAATAAAGCCAAAGGAGCAAAAGATCTTTAAAAATCTGGGTAATGGTATTCAGGAGGGGGATTCTCTGTAATACTCTTTGTGGGAAACTGACAACCAACTGGGAAGAGACCGAATGCAGACAAATTACACCCATAATTTAAGGTGCCTGGGAAACAGATTCTGGTGGAGGAAGAATTTCACACTTAGGAGTTATGCATCCGTTACATTCTCCTAAGTAAATGCTATTCCCTACAATGTCCCCCTTAATAATGCCATTTTTAAGGTGCTGTTTTGCAGGCACATGGTTGCTACTATACTCTTTGAAGGTTAACTGCCATCAAAAGAAATCAGACCATCAAAGCCTAAGTACAGCCCTTCAGATAAGGATCATAGATTCTTCCCCTGGAAATGTGCTCAGGGACACCTAAGGTCAAGCCAGCTCAGAGAAGACCAAGGTTAGGCCACCACTCTAGTACCTCCTCTTGCTATTGCCTGTACCCTCCACCACCTCACTCCCTTCAGTTATGGATGTGTGTGATGTGGCTTGTATGCCGGAGATTACATTAGCTTGTGAGAGGATATATTTGCCCCTCACTCTGGTTATGGTTTCCATGGAAGAGATGAGTTCTTGCATATCTTGTCTGTTGTTCCTTGAATTTACCCTTCAATTACACAACTGCCCCTTGGACCCATTCTGCATGTGAAGGCTGGTCCCCTACAACTCTCACCACTAAAATGCTTAAAATTAAATATAAAAAGATAACAATATGTTCAAAATGAGAGCATTTAAAAAATAAACTAGCAAATTCAGAACTAAATTTCAATTGGTTAAGTACAATACAAGCTAAATTAGTAAAATATTAGATGCACTTTTAGATCAAATCATGTTGAAGAGAAGATATCTTACCTTTTGGAAGTTTACCTCCAAGCACAGTAAATTTTTGTGGATTTTTCAAGAATTCAACCACTTCCTGTAATTCTTGTTTAGCTTCCTCCACCTAAATTATTTAGATACAATTTACCCCAAAATGTCAAAGAATATGTCAGGCTGTTAAGGCTTCCTTCAAAATAATATATTTAATGTAGATTTTTAACTAACTAGGATTTTAAATATATAATTTTAAACATTCACACAGTTTTCTCCTTATTCCAAATTATGGAAAATCTCCATTTTATTCCAACCAAAAAATTGGGGAAAAACTTTTTTTTAACCACTTATATTTTCTCATGATACTCTCATTAAGTTTGTCAGTGGCAATGGATAGGAAAAAAGGATTCATCATACAAGTTTTGAATCAAGAACCCTTTCAACTCAGTCTTAAGCTACCAAGTAAATGTGGTACCTGTACTCACTATACATTCAAAATAAGAGACTAACTTGTAATAATAATTTGTGATTAATTACAAGATGATACCACCAAAATAGATTACTACTGGGTTATAGATGACTCAGTTCCTAACAAATGTCAAAGGACAGCATTTACAATAGGAAAAAGGTTAAAAAATAGAGAAACCACAATTTAATTCTTGTAATATAAGGTTTGGCAGATTTGAAATCTACAGTAAAAATAATGTCCAAGCTGACCAATAAGGATGGCAAGTGAAACAACAGTGCAGCTTTAAAAAACTTTCTATACGACAAAGAAAGTACCGATCAAAAAAAGGTAAGCTAATTTTCTGCTGTTACATATATAAATACCTGGGGAACCAGAAAGTAGGGAGAGAAAAAAAAAAAAAAGGAACAAAGAAGACCAGGGCACACATCCATTAAAAACAAGAACCCTAAGTGGCTTTACCACATTTCCAGTATGCAGGACTATAGAATCAGTGTTGCGGGATTTTTAACCCCAGTGGGGTGGAGAGTGGGTACCTGGGAGAACAACAACAATAAAAGCTAGAAATATTTTGAGACTGAAATTCCCAATTTTAAAATATTGGCTGCCAATTTAAGTTTTAAAATGATTATGCATGTTTATAATCTCTATTCCTTTCCAATGACATGGGGAAAATAATACATGTTAACTCAAGAATGCTCAATGGCCACTAATTTGCAATCTCAGATTAGACAACTTTAGTTTAAAATGGGAGAAAGTGAAATATATTGGGCAGTTTATAAAAGAAACTGTGAGAACTATGTGAAGAGGAGCTGCTAAGACATAAAAACCATTTTGCGCTAAAGAGCATTCTGAAACTCCTAAGTGGGATTCCAATTATATTTATAGAAAATTTATAAGAAATATCATAATTAAAAAAAAAAAAGAAATATCATAATTGTTAAAAGGTAAGCAGGATTTTTTGTTAGGCTTTTAATGGTCTCTGAAATTTATGATGAAATTACTTTGAAATTATGGAAAAGCTTAAAGGGTAATGGTTAAAAAGAAAGTTTTATCCACCCCTATACCTCAGAGATATACAAACATACTACTACATAAGCCCAAGTCTGGGGTAACCTAAATACCCACTGAAGAGTTAGAATAAATGTACAGTGCTATGGTACTCTTATACTGCAATATAACAGAGCCATTCAAGGAGCGCTGAACTTACATATGAGCAATTGCTAAAGAAACTTAAAACAAGTCTGCGAGAGCCAAAATACAACCTTGAGTCTCCCCCACCTGAATTTCAAGAACATCTCAAGAACAGATTTGACTGAACACTAACGACAGAAGACTTGATGAGCTGTGGGAGGACATCAAGACCATCATTCATGAAGAAAGCAAAAGGTCATTGAAAAGGAAAAAAAGAAAGAAAGGATCAAAGTGGATGTCTGAAGAGACTCAGAGACCTGATCTTAATCACAGAGTAGCTAAAACAAGTGGAAGAAATTATTAAGACAAACAGTTGAATAGAAAATTTCATAGGGCAGCTTGAAAAGAAAAAGTCAAATGCTATAATGAAAAGTGCAAAGACCTAGAGTTAGAAAACCCAAAAGGAAGAGCACGCTCAGCATATCTTAAACGGAAAGAACTCAAAAAATTCTAAGCCTCAAGATGCAATACTGAAAGATTCTACAGGCAAAATATTGAATGATGCAGCAAGCATCAAAAGAAGATGGAAGGAACACAGTCACTGTACCAAAAAGAACTAGTGGACAGTCCACCATTTCAGAAGGTAACCTATGAGCAAGAACCAATAGTGCTGAAGGAAAACGTTCAAGCTGCACTAAAAACATTAGCCAAACACAAAAGTTCCAGGAAATGATGGAATGCCAATTGAAATGTTTCAACAAACTGATGAATCACTGGAAGCACTTGTTGTCTATACCAGAAATTTGGAAGACAGCTACTTGCTCAACTGACTGAAAGAGATCAATCTGTACCGATTCCAAAGAAAAGCTACTGTGAGGACTAAGGTGCCCCTGACCCAAGCCACAGTATTCTCAATTGCCTCATATGCATGTGAAGGTTGGACACTGAATAAGGAAACCCGATAAAGAATAAAAGCATTTTAATTGTGATGCTGGTGAAGAATATTGAAAGTATAATGACTGCAAAAAGGACAAATCTATCTGTCTTAGAAGAAGAATGTCCAGAGTGCTCCTTAGAATCAGAGTTGGTGAGACTTCATCTTATAGACTTTGGACATGTCAGGAGGAGCCAATCCCTGGAGAAGAACATCATGCTTGGTAAAGTGGGGGGACAGCAAGAGAGCAGACTGCCCTCAACAAGATGGACTTACACAGTGGCTACAAGAATGGGCTCAGGCACAGGAACTGTGAGGACAGCCTGGACTGGGAAGGGTTTCACTCTGGCGCACACAGGGTGCTATGGTGGGGACCTGATGGCATCTAACAATAGCATGAAGGAGCCCTGGTAGTGCTGGCAGGTAGGTACCAGTTGCTAACTTCAAGCTTGAGGGTTTAAAACACAGAAGCCATTGCCTGACAGAAAGATGAGAGGCTGGCTGCTCTCAATACAATTCACAGTCTTGGAATCTTTGTGGAAGGTTGCTATACGTCAGAATTGACTCCAGGGCAGTGGTTTATTACAGCAACTTGCATACTCTGTAGTACAAAAGAAGGCCTCCATCACGCCAGATCTACGATTAGCTGCAACAATGGGCTCAAACAGAAGAATGAGGGTGAGGTTGGTACAGGATTTTGTTTTTTATCTCCAGCACCTAGAGAAAGTTAGGCACTCAATGGACACTAAAAAAAATACTTGTTAAAGTATTGAATTTATTAATTACAGAGAAATTTTTATCTATGAACTAGAATGAAATCACTCTTATTAAAAAACAATTATTGCTCCTCCCAATTAACGATAAATTTATAAAGGAAAAGGAAAAAATCAAATTCCTTTAAAAGGAACAAAATTCCTACACAATCATCAGAAAAGGGAAAAAAATAATTATTGTTCAATACGTTTTATATGCGGGAGTTACAAAAAAGAGGAACAGGTGTAGAGAAACACCACTTACTGAGTATGTACAATGAAACAGGCACACATATTACCTGTGAGAGTCTAAAGAATCTTGCTCATGGTCCTATGACCAATTAACTGGAAGCAAAATAGAATTTAAAACCTTAGCCGATGTCTCTGAAGTTCACATTCATTCCATTACAACTGGTTATTTCTTCACAAATCAATACCAAGGAATGACATGTGACAAACTGATCTTTCGCTACTGTTGTTTATCCTTAAATTTGAAGTTTCTAAAGCTTTTCCATGCAATTTTAACTACTCGAGTATAAGCAGAATTTTTCAGCTCATTTTTAATGCAGTTGTGGTGGTAAAATTAGGTGCCTAAGTGGATATTTGGGTCGGCTTATACTCAAGTATATATGGCATTCTAGAACTGCCTTTACAATAAAATGTTACCCCTACATATAATAATCATTAGGTAATGTTTGAAGAGTGGAAAGAAAATTTTTGGACTTACTCCTTTAACATGTTCAAATGTTACATTTTTCATTTGGACAGGATCTACTGCAGAATCAAGTCCCGTGGTTGTCCGGAATCGGACTAAAGAAAACAGAAGAAATCTTTTTATAATAGATTCACAAAATTGTAACAACTTATTCTACAAGTATAAGCAAAGTCCCCAAATTAAATGTATGAGCAACAACAACCAAAAAAAGACAGATTTTTCTGAGATGAAAGATCATACTCAAGGACTACATAATTCACATTAAACCATTTTTCATACTTTACAATTAAAATGAATATTGTTCCCATTATTCTTATAATACCTAATTGATAGAAATTTAAACATACAGTTCTCAAATACAGTGTCTAAAAGTCACTTGAGAAACATGTAAAAAAATGCAGATTCCCAGGCTACAGCTCCGAACTTCTAGAGTTTGCAGGTTTGAGTTAAGGGCCTAAAAAGCCCACTTGTAACAAGTACCCTCCATTAATTACTCAGTAAGTACAAGTGTCCTCCGATCTACAGTTGTAACATACCCAAAAAAATGGCATATGTTATAAATAATTAGATAATACATTGTTTTCATGCAACCTTCTTCATGACAGCTGGTATTAATTGTTCAGTTGATATAAGACAAGGCAGGAAAGTGAATTTTGGGAATAATGAGGGGAACAAATGTATAGATGTGCTTTATACAATTGATCTATGTATTGTGATGAATTGTATGAGCGCCAATACATTGATTTAAAAAATAAGAAAGGACAACCCAAGAACAAAAGGGAAATTTTTCTTTAAAATTTGGCATTTAAATTTTAAAATGCCATGGATAATAAATCCATTCATATAAAGGCCAGTTTAAGCTTTAAAAAAAAAAAAAAAAAAAGACAAGGCAGGAAAATTTTGAGAGTACAGTAAAATATTTGAGCTAAACTTTGAGGAACCACAACAAAGCGTTCTTAGATTTTTGCTTCTAAGGCTAAAAACTTCCAAAGGCAATTGTAAGTGAGCAATCTAAGAAATTTCTAATTTAGAGAAGCCAAAAACACAATCTTTATTATAAACTGAGAAAAAAAAAGAGTAGAAAAAGTACAACGTTAAGAAGAGTTAACATAAAAAATATGTAAAGCAAATTTATAAATTATTTCTACAATGGACATAAGTGGCTTTAGCCCATTAAGTTCTGTTTAAGGATGTATATAAAAAGTTAATGAACTCCGGGAACCCAAGAGGCAAGTGAATTTTGGGAATAATGAGGGCAACAAATGTATAGATGTGCTTTACACAATTGATCTATGTATGAGCCCCAATAAATTGATTAAAAAAAAAAAGTTAATGAACTGTGCTTTCAATGCTTTCCTTAATGATACACATGAAGAGATATGAATCAGAATTCATATTCCATGCCCTTCCACCCAGCGCATAGCATGTATTTCAGTCCCTACAATGGTTCTTTTTTGTAAAAAGGGAGATAGAAGGTGAATGTAGAAATAAAAAGCCATTTCTGGACATTAACACCATTCCAGTTTTGATACCTCCCCTCACCCCTCCAAACAAACAAACAAAAAAATCAAGGACTACACACAAGTTCGGAGATAAAGTCCTGATCCAGGACAACTGGCGTTCTTAAAGTGAACGCTGCTCCCCCTTTCTTTCATAGCATAGGAGTAAAAGACACAGGGTGAAAGCTATATGAAAATCGAACCCATGTCACTGCATCTTAGATGAATGAACTAAAAAACAAAATACAAAAACCTAAGCACTCACTAAAATTATTTTTGGTCAATATATTAATATCTTTGCATTACTTTGTACTGCTATTGCAATAATCCTCCTATAGAATTAAAATATTGTGTTATAAATGAACAGCTATCTATGACTCTGAGAGACTAACACCTACCCCAGTTGAAATAATCTTTTACTGTATTACAATTCTTGAATATCAACAAAATAATAAACTATTTTTCCAAACACCCATAAAAAGTTCAATAAAATGCTAGACTTCTCATTCATTTTCAGTGGGAAGAACTAGAATTTTTAAGCTGTCCAAAAAAACTTTTTTATGAATTCTTCAAACAATATAATTATAATCAAGTCCTCTGATGTGATAGGAGTAATCATAACAGATGGAAATGTTTCTACTTCATTAAAAAAAACATTCTCAAAGTAACCCAACTGAGAAACTTCAATTAGGAATGAAAGGACTATATCCTATAACTGATTTTTGCCCCCTCTAATTGACAGCCAGACTAACCTTAATCATAAAAAGGAAACAACTATTTCAAAATTGTAATACATTCAGTAAATAAAAAAGAGGCTTTACCAGATAAAAATGGGTTTTTCAATAGTCCATAAATGCCAAGCAGCAACAGAACAAGGAGAAACAGCCGAGTTCGTCTTAGAGAATCTGGAAGAAGTATCCAAAGTCTTACAATCAAAGGACATCATTGAAAAGAAAACATTAAGTTGTTGGTAATCATATTTTTTTGTTTTTTTTAATTATTTTATTGAGGGCTCGTACATTTCTCATCACAGTCCATCCATCCATCCATTGAGTCAAGCACCTATGCACACCTGTTGCCCTCATCAATCTCGAAACACCTGCTCTCCACTTCAGCCCTCAATATCGTTGGCTCATTTCCCCCCTCCCTCCTCCAATCATATTTCTTTATATGCAACTTTGAAACCTGGTATTCTTTTGCATAACCACCCTGGTTTCTTTTTAGCATCCTATTCTCAAAAAACTCACAAAGCCTCTAAGGATTAAGTATATCCACACATCTGTCCCTTATTTATCTCTTGAGAAAGGCAATTTGTTGGCAGACATTTTCCACACTGCTTAATTGCATACACAGTGTGGGATAATCAATGCAAAGGTAGACTGTTAAAAAATGTTATTTGTAATCATTTCGATGTCAGAGTAGAACTTCTTTGCAAATCTAACTTCCCAAAGAGGAGTATATCAAATTAACTTACCATTGGTTTTTTGTGTCAATGCTTGAGCTTTCAGAAAACCCTCTGCAAAACCAGTTTTAAATGCATCTTGGTGAGCTTCTGGGATGTTTTTGGTTTTCATGAGTTTGTCCAAACTTTCAACATCGGATCCTCTGTCCCGCAAAAGGAATCCCTAAATTCAAAGATCATTACTAATTTGTTGGCTATTTAGATAGTAACAGTTCAATAATATGGGAACTGTCCCTAAAAAATTCATTTAAGTTCTACAATCTTTCATTTTCACACTCAGTGGGGGAAAAGTAGATTAAAACTCAATAGTGAAATACAGAATCAATGACAAAAACACAACACTAGCCTCACACCTGTACCAATTAATTGATTTAAAAAAAAGTTGCTCTCTGCAAAAATATCAAAACAAAAAACATCGAAATACCTATTGACTTTAAATTCTAATAGCATTATGCTAACACTCCTATGCCCCACCCTCTTGTCCCTGCCTGATCAATTTATTAAATAAATGTTTCCGGAAAGCCATATGTAGGCTCAGTAACTGTAAAGATCGATAGGTCAAAAAAAAAAAATTAAAAGATCGATAGGTCTCTCCATGTGTTAAGTTTTCAGTCACTGGGGAGAACTATGTAAATAAGTTTTTAAAAACCATAGATAAGGATAGTGGTTGTCTGTTTACTTGTAGGAAATACCAGAGAGGTCAAACCACCCAAGGATGACCAAGGTTAGGTAGCCATTATGAATCTAGGGTCCACCCATCTTGTCACATGTGTAACCCTAGACCTTCCCATTGCTATGGGCATACCCCTAGGTCATCCCCCTCCTATTGATTGTATTGCCTATGTTGCTACCCCTCCCTATGTCATAGGCTATTGTCTGCTATCAGGGGGCTTGCGTGCCTCCCAGCATAGTAATTGTCTTTTATTGTATGAGACACCAGAGTGATCAAACTTGTTCTAGGATGAATTGTATTGCCCCTTTCTGTGATGTATGACTCTGGAATCAGATCCCCCTAAAATGATATGATGCATGGCTAGCAATAAATAATGAGGCTCCCTGGTTCTCGGGGTGGTGGCTGAGGAGGACGAGGCAGTTGCTTCTACTCTGACGGCTAAGTCCCCTCCACGAGGACCATCAAGCGGGGCTGAGGTGAACAATGCTACCATGAATTGCGTCTGACTCCCTTCATTACTTGACTCCATCCTTTAACTCTCATGCTCTCTATGACTTTATTATAATCTCTTATTATCGCTGTACAATTGCGCCTACCGAACCTGTGATGTTTTGTGGGGTTCCCTCTCCCCTTTAACCCCACAGTCCCCCAATAAAACGCTAAGAAAAAAGCATCTAGAAAAGAACAATGGCAATATCTATACAAATACGTTTGATACATTTGATCTATGGATTGTAACAAGAGTTGTAAGAGCCCCCAATAAAATGATCTTTTAATAAACAAATAAACATTAAAAAAAAAAAAAAGAACAGTTGGTGTGTTAGTCTGGGTACTTTAGAGAAACAAATCCACAGGAACTCATATGTATAAGAGAGAGTTTTATATAAAGGGCAAGTGCACATCAAGAAAACATCCCAACCCAGTGCTGCCCAAGCCCACAAGCCCAACATTATCCCATATGTCTGACCTAATCCACAAAATCCTCCTCCATCTCACAAAACATACACAGTAATGCCAACTGCAGGAGAGTGGATTGAGGTAGTAAAAGTTTATTGTGCCAACCTGGCCGATAAACACAGGTGGGGCTAATTGAAGGGTGGAGGGATAAATGGCTTGGTGAGACTTGCCTTCTAGTTCTCTGGTCTCTTGCTTTCTGATGGTTGGACCAGGGTGCAGCTGCCTTAGCCAGTTCCCTACTTCAGCTGGCAAGGCTCACTTCCTGCAAGACATCCCCCAGGGAGAAGCTGCATGGACCTAACCCGATGCAGCCCTGGGTACTGGAGCAGCTGTGTGGAGACCCCTGCCAGCGCTGAGATGCTTACACATTCACTGATTTGGCTTTCCTCTTGCAGTTGGCATCATTGTGTGTTTTGTGAGATGGAGGAGGGCTTTGTGGATTGGTGTTAGACATACGGGTTAATGGGTTATGTTGGACTTGTGAGCTTGGGCAGCACTGGGTTGGGATGTTTTCTTGATGTGCATTGCCCTTTATATAAAACTCTCTCTTATACATATGAACTTATGTGGATTTGTTTCTCTAAAGTAACCACACTAACACAGGTGAGAGTCTGGAGGTAATACTAGAGGTAAAGAGACGCCATGAGTGTTTATTACAGTAAATGAGGCTAGAAGTAGTTACAGCTCATTTATGGCAGTTGAACTGGGAATGAAGAGAAAAGAGTGATTTACGAAATATTCCCGAGGTTGAATCAATTAACAGGCTTTAGTAATCACTGGAAGTGAGGTGAGGAAAAACAGACAAAGGTATGTGATTGTCAGATTTTTGGTGAATGGCTGGATGCCTATCTTTAACATACAGAAAACACATGCAGGTGCAGTTTGGTGGGGACAGTCTGAGGGATTTTGTCCAATAAGCAAGTTAACAGGAAAATCCAATGTCTTGTTATAATACTGAGGATATTCATACTTGATGAGTACAAAATAAAGAGAAAACACATCAGCAAACAAAAAGCAGCTACTAAAGGTCCTTGTTTTAATCATTTGAAAATTACTGCTTTCTAGACTTCTTTCCCACACACCCAAAAAGTCTAGTACCTTTACAAAAGATGGTGCTACATGCTGTGTTTCTGCTAGTCTCTCAGAGGTGGACTGTAGACGCCGTGTTCGTGATTTCAAAGTCTGAAAACCCCGAGACTGTATAAAAACTGAATCAAATGATATCACTTAAATCTCATTATAAATTTGACAATGAAAACATGCCTAAGGTTAAAAACTCTTAAAAGTCATACATGTTTATCTCAATTTATAAGCTTATTTTTTGACACAGTTCTTTTACCTAACACTTACATGTTTGTTTTTTCTATCTAAAACAAACCTAAAACATTCTATGTATTTAATGATTAAAGGGGGGAAGATAAATATAGATGATTTTACAATACAATTTGGAAAAACAGTGCAGCTTAATATTACATTTTTCTTTCTTTATTATATAAACCTGCTCTGAAAATTGTACATACTTTGTTGCAATTACCTTACTTCACTTAACAATATATTATGGCCAACTTCCAAAAGAGGAAAAGTACAAGACTCAGTTTAATCACCCTTTATAGTCTCTTAATTATAAAATAGCCATAATTTATTCAGCAATGTTTATTTTTATTTTATTACTATAAATAACAGTATAGTAAACATCCTTGTACACACCCTTGAGAGTGCATGTTGACTAAATTCCTAAAGGTGAAACAGGAGATGTAAATTTTGAATTGCAAAAGGGTTGCTGCCTACCAACTTATGTTATCACACAAAATATTTGTCTTTTTATCCATGAAGTTAGCTTTGCCAACTTTGAATATATTTTTAATTTGAAGAGAAAAAAATGTGTCTTACTTAAGGTTATATTTCCCAGATTACAAATAAGAGAAATTAATATATACAGTACTTTTATTGGCACCTTTTGCAAATTGTTTCAAAGACTGGAGGTTATGTATATATACAACCCTTTAAGTAAACAGACAGTAAATCATTAACCCAATTGAAAAAGACAAATTAGAATAACCTAATGCATAAATCAGTTGTTTTGATAAGACAGGAAATATTGTTGCTTTATACCTGGTGAGTACTGAAGATGTGAATAAATATTTTGAAGAGTTCTTGAATGTTGTCTGTATAAGCAAGAGGAACGTAAAGTAGTAAATACATCTAAAAAACCTGGAGGAAAATGGAAAATATTTTAATTGCTAACAAGAAATTTTAATAGAAAAATCACAATTCAAAAATAAATGACAGAAGTCTAAATATCTTATATCTGCACAGGATAAAACTTTTTATAACACTATCTAAAGAATGGCTATTAGTACCCTAACCAAGAGCTTTTCACAGCTCTCGCCCACCCTACCTGGACAGGTAGCCATGCATATCAGAGCAATGAAGGCTGCTGATGGCAGAGGTAAGTCAGGAGAGGGAAAGGGAACAAACATGTCAAGGAGAACACAAATGCATGTCTGTTGGTAGAAAAGGGTCGGTTGGAGAAACAATCTCCAAGCAGGGAGAAAAAGTACTAAAAATATTTTTAAGGTGCATAAGCAAATGTGGCGAAGAAAACTGATGGTGTCCGGCTATCAAAAGATACAGCGCCTGGGGTCTTAAAGGCTTGAAGGTAAACAAGTGGCCATCTAGCTCAGAAGCAACGAAGATCACATGGAAGAAACATACCAGCCTGTGTAATCACCAGGTGTCAATGGGATCAGGTATCAGGCATCAAAGAACAAAAAATCATATCATTGTAAATGAGTGGGTAGAGACTGGAGACCCAAGACCCATCTGTAGGCAACTGGACACCCCCTTACAGAAGGGTCGTGGGGAGGAGACGAGCCAGTCAAGGTGCAGTGTAGCAATGATGAAACATACAACTTTCCTCTAGTTCCTAAATGCTTCCTTCCCCCACTATCATGATCCCAATTTTACCTTACAAATCTGGCTAGATCAGAGGATATACTCTGGTACAGATAGGAACTGGGAACACAGGGAATCCAGGACAGATGATCCCTTTAGGACCAGTGCTGAGAGTGGTGATACCGGGAGGGTGGAAAGGGGGAACTTATTATAAGTATCTACATATAACCTCCTCCCTGGGGTATGGACAACAGAAAAGTGGGTGAAGGGAGACATTGGACAGACATTGGACAGTGTAAGATGTGACAAAATAATAAATTATAAATTATCAAGGGTTCATAAAGGAGGGGGGAGCAGGGAGGGAGGGGGAAAAATGAGGAGCTGATGCCAGGGGCTTAAGTGAAAAGCAAATGTTTTGAGAATGTTGAGGGCAACGAATGTACAAATGTGCTTTACACAACTGCTGTATGTATGGATTGTGATAAGAGTTGTATGAGCCCCTAATAAAATGATTTTTAAAAAAGAAACGTTACAAAACAGAGCACACTGGAGAGAGTACTATAAGAAATCAAAATGATAAACCTGACTGGAATAGTTAAAACGTTGTCAGTTGATCCTCACCATATATATTGGTCCTCCATTTGGTTTTTAACATTTTGTTATTGTTTTTTCCACCTTCATATTTGGGTTTAGCTCTGATGTATTTTGTCATTGGGGGTAGCCCTCTTGAATTTTTGTTAAATGTTTTTTTGAATTGGAGAGTGTTTTGTTCTGTATATTTTAAAATGTCCTAAAATTGATTATGGTAAAGATTGTATACTTGCTTAGATGTCGGACAGGGCAAGATATGACAAAATAACAATTTATAAACTATCAAGGGCTCATGAGGGAGGGGGGAGCGGGGTGGGAGGGGAAAAATGAGGACCTAATGTCAGGGGTTTAAGTGGAGAGAAAATGTTTTGAGAATGATGTACAAATGCACTTTACACAATTGATGTGTGTATGGACTGAGATAACAGTTGTATGAACCCCTAATAAAATGTTTAAAAAAAAATCATTTTATTGGGGGCTCTTATAACATTGCATTCATCAATTATATCAAGCATGTTTGTACTATGTTGCCATCATTTCCAAAACATTTTCTTCTTGAGACCTTGGAATAAGCTCCTCGTTTTTCCCCTACCTCCCAACCTGTGAATTCTTGATCAATTATATATTATTATTATTTTGTATCTTACACTGTCTGTTGTGTTCCCTTTACTACATTTCTGTTATTCGTCCCCTTTTGGGGGGGGGGGGAATGGCGACCACTGCAGTGACGGCTATACATCCAACCTTGTGATGGGTACCTCCCTTTTTCCTCCTTCCTGACCATCCCCCTCCTCTCATATCATTGCTACGCCCACCAATGAGTGATGAAGTATAACTCTTCTTGATATGACTGAACTATTTAATTGTAAGATACATGGGTGAGGTGCCGATGAAACTTTTTTTTAAAAAACAGCTCTTCACAATACTTTACCTATCACTTGTCCATAAGGCCATCTTTTAAAAATTGATATATAAATATGACTATCAAAGAAACATTCACATCAATAGAAAGAATCCTGAAGAATGTGATAAAACCTTAGAAACCCGAGCTACAGTCATCTTTCTCTTAAAAGTTTCTACAAACCTTCATTTGGTGTGAAAAGGTTCGCTCTACAGTTATAAGCCAGAAATACAAGAGGGTACCCCCCCAAAAAAAGTAGTTTTTTTTTCAAAGCCATGTATTTAAATGTTTCCAAACAACCTGATCACCTTCAAAATACTCCCCGTTACACTTAATACAATCTGCAACTTATTCCATTTTTCATTTTCACACTCATCTGTTTGGATGGCTGACAGAACCACCCTCATTTTTCCTTTTCTCCTCTTCTGTGTTGTCAAATCGCTGTCCTTTCATGTCCCTTTTCATTCACAGAAACAAAAAGAAGTCACACAGGGCAAGGTCAGGTGAGTCAAGTGTGTAGGGCAAGAGAGGCATGCTGTTGTATGCCAAAAGCTGGCGCACTGAGATGACTGTGTGAGCAGTTGTATTGTCATGGTGGCAAAACCAGTCCCCCATCTGCCACAATCAGGTCTTTTTGTCACACATTGTTACACAATCTTTGCAGAACATCTGAATAGAAAGTTCGAATAACAGTCTGACCTGGTGGAACAAACTCTAAAATGCACTATCCCCCTCACATCAACAAATGAGTATCCTCTTGATCTTTGATTTACTTGGTAAGTTTTTTCTGGACAAGGTGCCGATGGTGTCCTCTTCTTCCACTGGTTTGATTGATGTTTGCTTTCAGGGTCCTAAGAATAGCACCACATCTTGTTACCAGGAATGACCTGGGGAAAAAAGGCTGGGTTGCTATGGAGCTGTTCTTTCAAAGCTCAGCAAAGCACATAATACTCTTTTTCCTGGTCAGAACCCGAGGCACAAATTTCACAGAGACCCTTCTTGTTTGCTAATCTTCCATTACAATTGGCTGAACCGAGCTCCAAGACAGTCCAGATAACTTCCCCAATGAAAGTTGGGGAATGATCCATCGTTGGTCTTCAAGTACAAGTGAAGACTTTTGTTGACCTTTTCATCCATTTGGGAAGTTGGCGGATGTCCAGAATGAGGTTTGCCATCGGTAGACATTTCACTTTTTGGGAAACGAGGATATCACTGTACACTTGAGTTCTTCCCATAGTGCTGTCCTTGTAAGCTATGTTCAACATCACAACAATTTCTTTGGCATTTTTTCCCTGAGCAGGAAACAAAATTTCACAAGCATGCACCATTTTCTGAGATCTGCCATCACAAAAATCTAGGTTGAAGTGAAACTGCTTCGACAAAAAAATTCACTGTGACCAGAGAGAACCATCTCAGGCAACGCCACAGGGTACACTATCTCAGAGTGATTTGCTTAATGTTCACGTAGCGGGGAAAATGCAAACTACGAGTGCTCTGTCCTGCGGAGTCTTTTTCCGATTTTTTTTGGGGTACACCCTCGTACTTTAGAGATATTTTCTATGGGGGAGGGACGGGAAATGAGGAGCTGATACCAAGGGCTCAAGCAGAAAGCAAATGTTTTGAAAATGATGATGGCAACAAATGTACAAATGTGCTTGACACATTGGATGTATGTATGCATTGTGATAAGAGTTGTATGAGCCCCCAATAAAATGATTAAAATAGAAATATTTTCAAACTTCTATCTTTGATTAATGGGCTCCTTCTAATTCATACATCAAAGATCCCAAGGGGAGAGTCATTATCAACAACAGAAACATGTTATCATCTATCCCTTGTCCTATTTAGAACACAGGACCAAGTTGCGAAATCACTTCCAAACACATATGTCTATTTCTAGAAAATACAATAGTTGATAGTATAAGGAAGCCTAAAAGAGAAATGTAAATATGCAGACTAGAAGAGCAAAAGGAACAATACTAACAGTAAAAATAATACCGATAATTTTTTATAGGCCAAATACTTGATTTGCCAAATAGGGAGTTATTATTCTCACTTTATATATGATGTAAAAAGCAGCAGCTTACATGTAGAGAGAAAATATCCTATTGTCACTCTGCAGCAGGGCTGAAGTTGATCCTAGTTTATTCCAAAGCCCTGAGTCCTAACCACCAAGCCTTGGGGCCTTGCTCACGAAGGGGCCAGTATGAAAACAGATCTTTAGGCTGCATCAAGGCCAAAAACGTTTCATCTTTCTCTTATTCTTATCTTTATTTAACTTGCTATATACTTGCTGGAATGGTGATTCCAGCTAAGACAGCGCCATGTGTGCAGAGTGGAACTCATCTGGATGGTTTCAAGGTCATGACTGTTCAAATGCAGATTGCCAAGCTTGTCCTTCAAACTATCTAGGAGTGGACTCAAATGGCCAACCTTTGGGTTAGTAGCCCAGGACTCCTTTGCACCACAGAGAATCCCTTTAGTCATCCTACTGCCTTGAAAAGAAACAAAGGCAGAGGAAGAGTAAAGCATTTAGTCAGTGAATAAGGCTTGTACAAAGCTTAAGTTCAAATCTCTTGCATTCAAATCTTGTCAGAAAAGAGTTCAAATCTGTTTATAGCTTGTGCTAACTTTTAAATATGTTCCTATATCTATATAATTTTTAAAAATTCTCTAACATAATCTTAAAGGGCTGTAGGATGAATAAAAGAGTGCCTGGGTGGTGTACAAGTTGAACCCCGGGCTACTAAGTGAAGCATCTGGCAGGGGTTTGTTCTCTGTACATAAGCTCACTGTGAGGCAGAACTGCAGGGCACCTAACAAAAAACGACATTGATTTTAGTGGGCTCCAGAGAGAATGTGGCATCCCTCACAACAGATACAGTTATTTTCTCTGGATGTTGTTCTAATACTATATTGTTATGAAACTCAATAAAACTTTAGGCATTCCATAAATAAAGGGACATAAGTGAATTTTCAGATTAGTATATTACCTAGAATCCAGTAAGTGTCACCTCAGTTAAAAAACAAAAACAGTCACCTGAATGCAATATGGTGCGCTAGATTGGATTGGATCCTGGAACAAAGAATGGACACTAATGGAAAAATGCATTTGATGAATCACAAGAAAGCCTGTAGTTTAGTTAAAAGTATTACAGCAAATCTTTTTTTTTTTTTTTTTTTATTACAGCAAATCTTATGTCTTAGTTTTGACTAATGTACCATGGCAATATAATTGGATGTACCATCTTCATAATTTTTTCTAATTTTTTTTTTCATAACAAAAAATGAAAATTCAGGAAAAGACCACAGCAAATGCTAATAAATGGCAGCTACTCTAATTATTATTAATAGTGCCAAAATTGCTTGTTTCAATTAGAACCAAAAAAATAAATTAACATACCATACTTATTTTCAAAGAAGGACTGTGCAGAGACATGGGATATGTGCCAAGGAGAAGAAGTTGTTTTGCCTTTGAAAAATCCTGGTAGCAGACTGTTGACAAGTTGATCAAGCTGTCCAATTTTTAATTCAGATAGTCCAAGATCCTTTAAGTTAAGTACGGGCTGTAAAAGATGAAGTCAATCATGTAATCATTACTATTAGGATTTTTAACTTGAAAAGAAGCCATTATCAAATGAAATAATATGCTGTTTAAAAATACATTTATTTCTTTAAAAAATATTCATGTATTTGTATAATTCTAGTTTTCCTGCATTCAGTCTCATATAAAAAAAAAGCAAACACACACACATGCTGCAATCTGCAAGGTCCATAGTTCAAACCACAAGGCACTCTGCAGAATAAAGACGGGGTTTTCTATTCTCATACAGAGTTAGTCTCAGAAACCCACAGGCACAGTTCTATCCTGTTCTACAGGGTCACCATGAGTCAGAATTGATCCAATGGCCAAGAGTTTAAAACTACTGAATTAAGCATTAATGTACTCTGGTGCTGCCTCATTTCCCTCGTGTTCATATACCGTGCTCTGATGTAAAGCAAGTCTGGGGAACTGTCAGTGACACGTTTAGAATACCAAAGCACGCCAGGGCTTTCTTAACATTGTGGAAGTAATAGGAGGTCAAGGTGTGGGTTCTAGAACTGGGAAAATGCCATGCAAATGATAATCTTCCTTAGTTCATAGAATCTTAAAGCTTCCCTTTGCTCCTGATAACACGAGAACAGAAGCCTCCTTGCTGCGTTAACAGCTAGGCACTTCACCTCTCTGAACTCACTTTTGAAGTCCTTGATGGCCCTAACGTGACCCATGTATACTTCCAAACGAGAAGGGAAAGTAAATCAAGTAAAAAAAAAGTGTGAAAACCAGGAAAAAAATACATAGTTACATTTAAAGTTTTAAAGTAACTACAAACATTTGTTATATTCTCATCTACATGAACCAGCAGGGAGATACTAAAAAACAATTACATGTTACTGAAGTTCAAATAGCTACAAAGTAAAGGACACACAGCAGAAATGCATAAAGAAAAGTATTGCTTTATGATTACTATTAAAAATCCATGAACTTTATAGATCTGAAGTCTGAGGGCTTGTTAATTACTTGCTATGTGTCAAGTCACAAATATTCTTAGAATCTGTTTCCTCATTAATGAAATGACTATGAAATACACAATGCCTTACTTCATAGGGTGATAGTAAAAGGGTCAAAGGAAGTGTTGGGTCAAAAAGGGTCAAAGATTGTGTTGTGTTCACCTACATATCTTAACTTATACCATGGTGGTATTCAGTAAAAGAGAGTTGACCATATGAAAAAATACTTAATCTAGTAGAAGCTTAAACTATTAAAAGCTATATGCTACAAAGTAAATTAGAGTAAGTGAAACAGAACAATTACATGTTCAAGAACTTCTCTTCCAACGTTATCTTTTAAAATAGGATACTAGAGAGTCAATTTATAATATGTACAATTCAAGAGAAATGCCCACATTAGTAACTAAGAAATTGTAAAAAAAATAATAACAATTAAATTGTGCCTGTGATACCTGGGTATCAGGTCTAGGAGGAACCAAAACAATGGTCCACAGCAGACAACAATTACCAAACAACTTGGTAACTACTATCACCAAATTCACTGCTATTAAGTAGATTCTGCCTCCCACTATCATGGTCCCAATTCGACCTTACAAATCGGGCTAGACCAGAGGATGTACACTGATACAGATAGAAACTGTAAACACAGGGAATCCAGGACAGATGAACCCTTCAGGACCAGTGCTGAGAGTGGTGATACCAGGAGAGTGGAGGGAAGGTGGGGTATAAAGGGGGAACCGATCACAAGGATCTACATATAACCTCTTCCATGGGGCATGGACAACAGAAAAGTGGGTGAAGGGAGAGGTCAGACAGTGTAAGACATGACAAAATATTAATAATTTATAAATTATCAAGGGTGAGGGAGGGTGGGGGAGAAAGGGAAAATGAGGAGCTGATACTAAGGGCTCAAGTAGAAGGAAAATCTTTTGAGAATAATGATGGCAATAAGTGATAAGACTGTACAAGCCCCCAATAAAATGATTTAAAAAAAAGAATAGATTCTGATTCATAGAAACCCTAGGAGACTAATCTTTAAGAAGCAGACTGTCTCATCTTTCTCCCTCAAAGCAGCTGTTGGGTTTCAACCACCACTTCTTGTGGTCAGCAGGGAAACGTCAGACCCACAGCATCACACCAAGGATTTTGCCCTCACCCCTGAACTGCTGTTAGAAAATACAAGAAAGGAAAAAAGTAGATTGGGAACATAGTACTCATAGCCTATGTGAGATCAGGTTCAACTCAGTAACATGTAAAACGATGATGGTGGGTGGTTGATTATTGGGCGGGAACAAAGAGTCAATGGACTGCCTAGAATGTCTGAGATACGGTAAAAAGTTTAGTGAAGGAAGAACTTGAAAGACGAGCTGTGGCCTAATTGTGAAGAAAATTGTTGGATTTAATTTTACAGCACAAAAAATCTTACCATAGTGAATGAGGAGGGGAGTGCAGAGTGGAGACCCAAAGCCCATTAGTAGGCCACTGGAGACCCCCTTGCAGAGGGGTCTCGGGGAGGAGATGAGCCAGTCAGGGTGCGATGTAGTAATGATGAAAAATACAACTTTCCTCTAGTTCCTAAATGCTTCCTCCCCCCCCACTACCAAGTGGTGTGAGTGGCGATACTGGGAGGGTAGAGGGAGAGTGGGTTGGAAAGAGGGAACCGATTACAAGGATCTACATGTGACCTCCTCCCTGGGGGACGGACAACAGAAAAGTGGGTGAAGGGAGACGTTGGACAGGGCAAGATATGACAAAATAATAATTTATAAACTATTAAGGGTTCATGAGGGAGGGGGGAGGGGGGAGGGAGGGGAAACAATGAGCTGATGCCTGGGGTTTAGAGCAAATGTTTTGAGAATGATGGGGGCAATGAATGTACAAATGTGCTTCACACAATTTATGTATGTATGAATTGTGCTAAGAGTTGTACGAGCCCCTAATAAAACAATCTTAAAAAAATGAATGAATATTTGAGAGAGAAAAAAGCACAGACTGAAAATAAAAGGGCTAATTTAGAGGTGAAGGATATCAATTTTATTTGTCAGGCCAACAGTACTACTTTTAAGTGGAACATTACTCTCTAGAACAGTGGTTCTCAACCTGTGGGTTGCGACCCCTTCGGAGGTCGAATGACCCTTTCACAGGGGTCGCCTGAGACAATGTTTCTCTATCCATCTCCAGGCAGGTCCGCCTACATGCAGATACACCCACATACAAGTACCTGGAGCGAAAACTGTTACCCATGCTACACCATGCTTCGAGATAAAATTTCATTTGTTTGTTCACAATATATAATTACATATTGTTTTGTGATGAATCACTATGCTTTAATGATGTTCAATTTGTAACAATGAAAATACATCCTGCATATCAGATACATTACGATTCATAACAGTAGCAAAATTAGTTATGAAGTACCAACGAAAATAATTTTATGGTTGGGGGTCACCATATGAGGAACTGTATTAAAGGGTCGCAGCATTAGGAAGGTTGATAACCACTGCTCTAGAATTTCAGTACTGTTCAAGTCCACCTTTGAAATGGGTCAAAAAGGAGATTCAGTGATAAGATATATTATATCTTAACCTAATCATATCTGCCATAATTTTTACAATGTTTTCTATATGATAACAAGCCATCATCACTCAACTGTGGTCACAGGGATCACTGGAGGTTTGATCCAAGTGTGGACCCTGCATATGGACTTTGTACGTCCACTGTCATGCATAGACTTCAGCAAACCAGGTATCCAGAATACAAGGTCTGAGATGCCACTGCCTTCTTTGGATTGGGATTTTATTATTTACAACCCTTTTGAATGGGGAGCAATATGGACCTCTTGTCAGGTGGATCAGCTAGCTATCTTCCAAACTTCTAGTCACAGACACAGGAAAGCATCCAGTACTACATCCATTTGTTAAAACACCTCAGTTGGTATTCTCCGTCAATTCCTAGAACCTTGTTATCACCAATGTCTTCAGTGCAGCTTGGGTTCTCCTTCAATAAGGATGCCACCCCAGACATGGCTGAACATTGACCGATTCTTTTATGATACAACGAATTTTTGTATTCCTTCTACCATCTCTTAATACTGCATCATTTAATATTTTGCCCACTGAGCTGATTATAATGAACATGCTTTTACCTTTGTCTCTACCAAACAGTTAAGTTTGTTTATTCACTCATGTGCTCCCTTCTGAATTACAGGCCAAATCTTGTTTAGATTAAGAGGAGAATTGTTTAGTAATTTCTTCTCAGGTATTGAACCACAGCTAATTAATAGGTTGGCCAGAGTAGGACTGCTGGTTAAACATATTTTATTTACCATTAAGTGATCTTTATGAATATTCTGGAGTAGACATACAATAAATTACCTCTCTGGTTTCCTGTTTAAATGTTAAACATTTGTTCCTAAAGTTTAAATTTAAGATGTTTGAATGTTCAGTTTTATGTATTTGAACTACAGTAAACCAACTTTTTCTATTAAAAAAAATTGCCCACTGAATCCTTCAAAATTATAACTTGAGGTCTGAATTTTTTTTTCTTCAGTTCTTTCAGCTTGAGAAATGTCAAGCACAATCTAGGTTTTGGGGTTTCTAACTCCAGGTGTTTGTGTACTTCATTACAATTCTTTACTTTGCCTTCTCTAGACCTTTTGAAATCTTCTGCATGGCTCTCTATGTCCATCATTTATTCTGTACATTTTAATAGATATTCTACATTTAAAAGTATGTTTCTGAGTCTCTCTTCATATTCATTTTGGTCTTTTCTTTTTTAACTGATAAATCATTTTTTGGGGGGGTGCTTACAGCTCTCATAACAATCCTTACATCAATTGTATCAAACACATTTGTACATATATTGTCATTTTCAAAACATTTTCTTTCTGTTTGAGCTCTTGGTGTAAGCTACTCTTTTTTCCCTTCCTCCCCAGCCCTCCCACTTTAATGGACCCCTGATGAATGAGCTCTTATTGTTGTTGTCATGTCTTACACCGTTCACTGTCTCCCTTCACCCACGTTTCTGTTGTTCATCCCTCTGGGGTGGGATGGGGTTGTTATTCGTCGACCATTGTAGTCAGTTCCCCGTTCTCCCCCAACCGTCCCCCCACCCTCATGGTATCAATACTCCCATTACTGTTCCTGAGGGATTTATTTGCCCTGAATTCCGTGTGTCGAGAGCTCTTATCTGTACCAGTGTACATGTTCCAGTCTAGCTGGATTTGTAAGGTAGAACTGGGGTCACGATAGCAGGGGTGTATTAGTCTGGGTACTTTAGAGAAACAAATCCACAGCAACTGATGTATAAGAGAGAGTTTTATATAAAGGTTAAGTGCGCATCAAGAAAACATCCCAACCTAGTGCTGCCCAAGCCCACAAATCCAACATTAACCCTTATGTCCGACACCAATCCACAAAGTCCTCCTCCATCTCACAAAACACACACAGTGATGCCCACTGCAAGAAGAAAGCCGAGTCAGTGAATGTGTAAGCATCTCAGCACTGGCAGGGTCCACACGGCTGCTCCAGCACCCAGGGCTGCATTGGGGTAGGTCCATGTGGCTTCTCCTTGGGGATGTCTTGCAGGAAGTCAGCCTTGCAAGCTGAAGCAGGGAACTGGCTAAGGCAGCTGCACCCTAGTGCGACCATCACAAAGCAAGAGAGCTGGGAACTAGAAAGGTGAGGCTCACTGAGCCATTTATCCCTCTACCCTTTAATTAATCCCACATGTTTATTGGCCAGGTTGGCACAATAAACCCCTAACTCAATGGGGTAGGAAGCATTAAAGAACTAGAGGCATGTTGTGTTCCATCAGTGCTATACTGCACCCTGGATGATGTGTTCCTTCCTTGTGACCCTTCTGTGAGGGAATGTCCATGTTGGGTCTCCTCTCCAACCCCCATCAGTTGCATCAAAATAATTGTTTTGGGTCTTCTGATAACTGACCTTGTTTATACCTCATGATCACACAGGCTTCTTCCTTGTTCCTTCTTTGCTAAATGGCAACTTGTTTAAATTCAGCCTTTAAGGTTCCAGACCCTATAACTTTTAATTGCCAGGCACCATCAGCTTTCTTGATCACATATGCTCACTCACTTATCACTCATCTTGACTTCAGTGATCATGACAGGAAGATGAGCATCACAGAATGCCAGGTTATTAGAACACAGTGTTCTTGAGTTGAGGGAGTACTTGAGTAGAGACCCAATGCCCATCTGCTATCTTAATACCTAACATTTTTATTTAAATATGTTCATAGGCCTATATTCCTATTAATACATTTATATATTTATATTTGTACATGCCTATATTTGTACCTCTATAAATGTCTTTTGCTTCCTCGTTCTTTCCTCTATTTCCTTTTACTTTCCTCCCGTCCCACTATCATGTTCCCCCTCCATTCGACTCAGTACTTTCTCTCAGCTACATTGCATTTGATCAACCCCTACCAGGCATTCTATACCCTCCTCGCCATCGATTTTAGATCTTATTGTTCCCTTGTCCCTAGGTCCTCTCCCAAGTCTCCCAGGGGCCGGCTCCCTGGAACTGGTTATCCTGCTTATCTTATATGGATCGACACGAGAAATAGAAGAAAAAAAGCCTATAAATACTTCCAGGTCTGTCTGCTGACCCTTGATTGTTTTCCAATCGAATCTGGTGAAGCGCCATGCCCTGCCTACCCATTCCAAAGTCTATTTTCGAGATTCCTCAGGTACTTCATTGCTTTGCTCCCCTAGCTGCTCCATTACGGTCTGTGTTTTGCTCTGGTATGGGGAGATCAGGAAGGGCACAATACTCGCACTGTGTCTCCAGTGTTGCCCACCTTAGCACTGTGAGTCAGTAAGGGGGCATCGTGTCCCATGGTAGGACCAGCCCCATTGTCCTCTCTGTGCACTGGCTGCTCAGAGCAGGAAGGTCGTCCTCGAGGCTTGGTGGGCCAGGATGCTGTTCACTCTCTTTCTCTCTTAGTCTGCTCTAGTGTTGTCTAGGCAGACGCGCCACTCTCCCAGGCTGGATCTTCAGTGCTGTCCTCTGTAGTGCATTCTTCTTGGGTTCCCTATCTTTTTAACGACCTTTTTCTTTCTTCATGTATGATGATCTTCATGCTATCCCATAACTCATCTGGTCTTTGGTCATTAGTATTTAATATATCTTCTCTTTTGCTGAGATCTCTAAATTCGGGTGCAATAAACTAAAAAAACTCAAAGTTGTATTTTGGCTCTGTATATTTTAAAACTCTCTCTTCATTTTCAACCTGAGCTGTCATGAGAGCAACAGGTGTTTGTTCTACAGTAACACATTGATTCCATAGTTTACACTCAGCTTTTCTATTCCATAGTTATTAATGAGACAGAAATAAATTCTAAATATACTGTAAAATGAAAATAAAAACTATATTATCTTAAAGTATGTACATGTGCTTGTATAGAGCAAGAAGGATGAAATAAGTTTATTCCAAATATAATTTTCTCTGGGTAACGAAATTATAGGTGACCTAAATCCCAAACAACACTGGCTATAATTTTTTGTTTTAACTTTATATAATTCTACAAATACTGAAAGTATCTATATCTGAATTGCTCAACTACACTAACAGTTTCTCTGAGACAGTAGACGACATTTATTATCTAACTCTTGGGCTTGCTGCTACTGCTGGAGGAAGACAAAAGAATAGCTCTCTAGTATAACAGAGCGGCAAACTAAGAAGCAAATACCAACATAATCCCATATAGAATTTTTTATTACATTTTTAAATAATAAAGTTCTATGTATAATGAGACTAGAATTGCATATATTTAATTGAAAAGGAGATTAAGCAAATAAAAACTGCTTTGCTACAAATACTTATAAAAAGATATTTAATCAAACAATATTGAAATCACTGTATCAAAAGAGCTTTCTCACAACCATAGTACAAACTCTTACCTCATTGCTGGGCGGCTCATGCTCAATAACTGCATCTCGATGTTGGTTTTGAGGAATTGATGCACTGACAGAAATAGATGGATTTTTTGGTGAGTGGAAGGCATTGATAAGGTGACTTAGAGGAACTGTAACCTAGAAAAAGATAAAGGTTGATATTTAAAAAGTTCTATTTTTACAACAAAATGAGTAAGTCTTGTTCTTATCAGGATATATTTAAGAATTAAATATGTACTATATAAAATATATATCCAAACAAGAAGCCCTAGTTGCACCAGGGGTCAAGCAGTAGGTTACTAACACCAAGGTGAGTGGTTCAAACCCATCAGCCGCTCCAAAAAAGAAAGATGAAGCTATGTATTGTCATAAAGCGTTCTAGTGTCAGAAACCCTGTGTAGAGCCACAATGTACCAGAATTGACTTGATGGTAGTGGGTTATATGTAAAAACTGTATTTATTAAGTTATTTTTACTTATTGATGGCAGAAGGAAAGAAAAAGACACTCTCTAGATAGTGAGTGTCTTGCTGCAAGTTTCAAAAGAATTATAATTAAAAGCAGTTCATTGTTCCACAATTTAACTTCTAGGAATTTATTTTAAGAAAATATCTTATAAATGTATACATAGGTAAGACAATGATTTCTATATCATAGCCTTTTTATAATAGTGTAAAGCTGGAAATGTTCTCCGTTATGGAAGTGTCTGAATAAATCATGATACCACAAAAGTGAAAAACTCGATAGAAATTTTTAAATATCCAGAATCTAACTACTTCCTAATTTCTTCGTCATCACCATCCTATTGCAAGCATATCTAGACATTTTTACAATAGTCTTCTAACTACCACCCCAGGACCTGCCCTTTACCAGTTGCTATGTGACAAAGCATGAAAATGATTGTGCCAATGCCAGAGTCAGAACCCATCACTCTCTGCTCCAAACCCCACCCATCTCACCGAGAGAAAAATGTACAGTCCTGACTGTGACCTGTAAGGCCACACAAGATTTGGATATTTATTACCTCTCCAAATTTACTTTCCCTGCAGGATCACTAAAAGTTGGGATGCAAGGGGAAGGTGTTGTTTATATCTCCACAGGGAAAGAGGGACCAGACTTCAACCCAGTACGCCAAGATGTGAATGCAACATACCGGCAAGAATCAGGGAACCAACAGAGGTCTGTGGGGCCGGTCCCAATCCCAACTACATGAACACCCCTCTCCCTCCAGAAGAATTAACTTCAAAGGGCAGCACTGAAGCTACACTGCAGGGAGAGGGACACATCTGACCAGAGCACACAGGAGCAAATGAAAAGGGAGAAAGAATGGAGCACATCCTGGCTCACCAAGCCCCGAGGACGATATTCCTGCTCAGAGCAGCCAATGCACAGAAAGGGCCATAGGGACGGGCCCCACCACAAGACACAATGTCCCTCACAGACCCATAGTGCTATGGGGACAACACTGGAGACACAGTGCTGGAATTGTGCCCAATCTGACCCCATCACACGTAGATGAAACACTAAGGGTGTGCAACAGAACAGCAAGGGGAACACAATGAAGTCCTCAGGGAATACCAAAAATAGACTGTGGGGCCAGGGCGCGGCACCCCTCAGACTCCACTGGAAAACACTCTTAAAGGTCAACAAACAGACCTTGAACTATTTATAGGCTTTTCTTTTTTTGTCAATGTTTTGTTCTGTTTTCTTTGCTTTGTTTTTGTGCTTATTATTGTCGCTGCATGTCTAGCTAAATGAACAATACAAAGAAGAAAACAATGGGACTGAGGTGGGACACACACATACACGAGGAGGGGGTTGGAGGGGGTTGGAGGGGAAGAAGTGGGTGTTAACAAATCCAGGGACAAGGGATCAACAAGTGATCTAAAATCAATGGCGAGGAGAGTGTAGGAGGCCTGGTAGGGCTTTATCAAGGGCAATGTAACAGAGAGGAATCACTGAAACCCAAAAGAAGGCTGAACATGATAGTGGGACAAGAGGAAAATAAAAGGAAAGAAGAGGAAAGAACTAGGAGGCAAAGAGGATTTATAGGTCTAAATATAGACATGTACATATGTAAATATATATGGTGATAGGGAAATAACTATGCACTACATATATTTATAGGTTTAGTATTAAGATAGCAGATGGACACTGGACCACTACCCATGTACTCCCTCAACACAAGAACACTTTGTTCTAATAACCTGGCATTCCATGATGTTCACCTTCTCGACACCATTGAAGACAAAGTAGGTGCATAAGCAAATCTGTTGAAGAAAGTTGATGGTGCCCGGCTATCAAAAGATATAGTGTGTGGGGTCTTAAGGGCTTGAAGATAAGCAAGCGACCACCTAGCTGAGAAGCAACAAAGCCCACCTGCCTGTGTGATCATGAAGTGTCCATAGGATCAGCTATCAGGCATCAAAGACCCAGAACAAAAAAATCATATCATTGTGAATGAGGGGGAGTGCAAATGGAGAACCAAAGCCCATCTTAGGTAATTGGACATCCCCTTAAAGAAGGGCCACAGGGAGGAGATGAGCCAGTCAGGGTGCAGTATAGCACCTATGAAACATACAGTTTTCCTCTAGTTCTTTAATGCTTCCTTCCCCCCACTATTATGACCCCAATTCTACCTTACAAATCCGGCTAGACCAGAGCATGTACACAGGTACAGATAAGAGCTGAAAACAGGGAATCCAGAACAGATAAACCCCTCAGGACCAATAATAAGAGTAGCTATACCAGGAGGGGAAGGGGAAGGTGGGGGGAGAAAGGGGGAACTGATCACAGTGATTTACGCAGGGGGATGGACAACAGAAAAGTAGGTGAAGGGAGACATCGGTCGGTATAAGACATGAAAAAATAATAATTTATTAATTACCAAGGGTTCATGGGGGAGGGAGGGAAAAAATGAGGAGCTGATACCAAGAGCTCAAGTAGAAAGAGTCTTGAGAATGATGATGGCAACAAATGTGCAAATGTGCTTGATACAATGGATGGATGGATGGATGGATGGATTCTGAGAAGAGATGTACGAGCCAATAAAATGATTTTTAAAAAAGGTGTCGGGATGGACTTAATTGCAGTCAGTGGCCTCCCCATTAGAAGTCCTGGTGGCACAGTGAGTCAAGCATTCTGCTTTGACCTTCAGGGCCCCTGAGTGGTGGCATGAGTTTTGTGTTTTCACATTCCCTTTTCTCTCAGGGGAAAGATGAGGCTTTCTACTCCCATAAAAAGTCAAAGTTGCCAAAACCCACAGGAACAGTTCTACCATAGCCAGAACTGACCCGGTGGCAGTGAGTTTGGTTTTGGGGGTTTTACTCTTTCTACTCTAATTCCATTTCCATGTAGTTCCCTGGATCTACCAAAAGACCCTCACCTTAAGGCCTAAATTTGCTATTATTGTTTCCTCTTGCGTAAGGAACAACAAATTTGCTTTCCCCTTCAGTTTTTTACTCAAATCTTCTCAAGAATCCCTCCTGCAGTTACCCTATCTAAAATTTCAACACTTTCCTAAAATAACTTAATTCCTTTCTCTGCTCTATTTTTCCCGCCGTATATTTTACTAACACACTCATCTATGTTTGTTTGCAATCTGTCTTTCCCATTATAATATAAACTTCTAAATCCAAGGCTACTGGCTAAGTAGAGTACCTTCAGGGAAATTGCCAGCAGCAGTAAAAGAGCTTTGCAATAGGAGTCAGAGAAGAGGCATGCTTGTGGACATAGCTGAGAAGAGGTGGTCCTAACTGAAGAATTATATAACGGAAGAGCTAAAGTTCTGATCCTGTAAAACCCGCTAACTTCCCTATAAACCTCAAAATCACGAGTATGATCTGAGAGTTTTGTGTGGACACTACACATGTGATTACTGAACCCAGCAGTGCAGCATTGCCTTAGGAGACAGTTGGGGTCAGAATTAGTAAAGGCTAGAGAGGCATTATCTGATCTCTGACTCGAACAAATTGGTGTTGGGATGAGGTTGAGTTTGATTGTCCAGCCCCCTGGAGACATCAGAGGTCAGGGCACCTCCATGCCTTTTGTGAATAAGGCAGAGGTTTATTAAGCGGGTCAATTTTCCATTCAACAATTCATACACACTTCGCTTAATCTCATTGATGGTGACTCCCACAAAGTAACATCATTTATCCAACTTCCTCCCTGTGTTTTCTCTTTCCATTCCTCCTTCTGTCGTAACTTTAGGGATTTTGTTCTTGGGTAAATGCTGCCCCCTTGATTTCAAATAGTTAACCATTCTGAGGTGTATCTCACTTGTGTTGTAGATCTCTATACTATTTGCCTAAAAATTGAGCCATGAGGGTGAGTTAATTTCTAGACCCAATGGGTGACCAAGCACCATAGTCTAGGGTTCCACCAGTTTCTAGTCTCTTTTATTATTTGAGTTTTGTTCTATAGTCTTACCCTACTCTATCCAGAACCTTCTAATGGGAACCCTTTCACAGCAACTGGTAGCCAGGTATCATCTAGTTCTTCTGCCATCAAGGTCCTGGAGACTGCTGAACATGTAGTTCATTAGTTCACTGGACCAATAATTCCACATTTCTTTTATTTTCATCATTATTCTTTCCTCCACATAGGGAGAGATCAATAGGTTGCTCATGAGCAGTTAAGACCACCAAATCAGGATGTAGAACAACTGTCTCTGTGGACTGTGTTATGTAGCTGACCTTGGTCTATGGTCCGAAGGCCTATTCCCTCAGGCCTATTCCCTCAGGCCCACTGACTCAATCCCTCAAGGTATTTGGTCAAATCCAAGATAACTACCATGATCCACAACATTCATAGATATATTTTCAGCAAAAATAAACAATTATATACAACACACGCTGTCAACCTCTATTAACATCATATAATATTAACTCTCTATCCAGTTGATGGTAAGGTCTAAAGTCAGGTACTCTCGATGTGAACTATTGAGGCCTGGTGGCATAGAGGTTTAATCATTGAGCTATCAACTGCAAGATTGAGTGTTCAAAACAATCAGTTGATCTGAGGGTGACAGATGAGGAAGTTTTTGTTACTAAAGACTCTGCAGCCTTGGAAAAACCCTTGGGAGCAGTTCAATTTTGTCCAATAGGTTTATTATGATTCAAGGGGGTGGGAGGGGTGTGAACTACGTAGTTAAACTTGAAAACGTTTAATGCTGTATTCCACAAACTGAGTCAACCTTCAATTTTCAAAAGATTGTACTGAATCCTCTAGACACTGACACCTTGGTAAACTAGTAGCTCAAAACAGAAACACCTCTCCCTTCAATCTTTATGTTCAGTTGTTGGTGTAATTCTATTACTTCTTTAAAACAAATCTCATCCCTTTTTCTATTAATAAGTGCCGTTCACTTTAATCAGTGCATCAGCTCTCCCATGGATTTTCTTTGGAATCAATCGATAACTGGTTAAGACTTCCACTCTTGCCCTCTCCCCATCACAGCAAGCAGGCAGAGTGATCTTTAAAGTGTAGATCTGATACTACTCCTCTGCTTGTAAGCCTCCAGTAACTTGAAATGAAACCCAAATTTCTTAAACATAACCTGCAACTAACTCCTATAATAAACCTCAGTGCTTTATTCTCCAGTCCCAGCTGTCACTGTTCCCTTGCATCAGCATGTTCTAGGTCAGACTAGTCCCATTTTGTGCTTCCAATCTGCTGGTCTTCCAATTCCAAGGCCTCCACAAATCATCTTCCTTCTGTTTGGAATGCCTGTGATTTTCCTTTTACTGTTTATCTGGTTAACTCATACTTTTGCTATGTATCTCCATTAAGATAAAGTCCTACACTTGTTTATTTACCAAGCATGTAATCAATGCACAGAAATAAGCAATCATTTCATTTTCTATTATTCAGCCATTATTAGCAAACAAATGGATGAGGCCTACATACAGGAACACAATCCTAATATAGTTAAACCAAGAAGCTATTAAGTGTTCACTTTTTTAAGTGAAAAGTTAGGTTGTTTTAATTTTTTTTACTTACAAAACTGAGCACCCTTAAAAAAACAAATAGGTTACACCCCTCTAAATAAACACGAACAAAACACTGTCAGAAGTGATTATCTGGGGGGTGAGGGTAGGAGAAGGGTAATAATAAAAACCTCTGAATTCCTTTGTCTCTGCCCTATCCTTTTACCAAAGGGGGAAAGAAATCAGGAGGCTGAATGCAAAATTTTAATTGCGAACTGTCAATGGCTGGGAAACACGTCATTCTAGTCAAAAAGAAAATAAAGCATCGGTGGCAGGCTAATAACTCTAGCATGTTTGAGTCAAATTCCAAATCCAAAAAAGGTAAAGAAAGAGTAGAAGACTGGGTGTGTAAATACTACACCTCTGCTCCAGAAAGGCGGGAGGCTGGGAAGGAAACAGATCCGTTTCCTGTACGAAGATGGGAAAGACACTTTGCCCACCGCTAGCTGTGGAATCCCCGACCGTGAACAAAGCGTTCACGCGGGCATTCCACACTAACAGCTCGAGATGCGACGGTCTCCGTGACACTGACTTCACGCCCGTGCCCCGACAGCCTCCTCTTCAGCCCTTTCCGTCTCAGGCCCGATTCTCAGCAGGGTACTCTGACCCACTTCTCAATCCCCGACCCAGGGACTCACGTGAAGGGAATCGCTTGCCTGCGACAGCCTCTCCTGGAAAACCGCCTACACGAACCGCACAACACTCGCAGCCGTGGGCAGGGGCAGCGCAAAGAAAACGAACAGGCCGATGACGGACTCACCTGGGGCTGCACGGTGCTCGACAGGGAAAACATCTCCGGGCCCTCAGCGACCTCGCCCGCCTGCCGAAAAGGCCTCTGTGTTCACGGCCGGGCGGGGAGGCGCTGAGCCCTTTTTCCTCCTGCTTCCACTCCCCACCCTGAACCCTCGCTCTTCTCAGAACCAAAAATGGCCTCCCCTTGTTACAGCTGCGGCAACGACAGACAAAACTGTCCCGGAAGGCAAGGCTCTAGCTCCATAGTACTTCCGGGGCAAGTGCGCACTCCCTCCGGGGAGTGTGCGTCAGTGCCGCACCTTCCCAAGTGCCGGGTGCTTCTGCCGGCCAATGGCGGGCCCCTGGCCCCCGAAGTCGTCTCACGTTGACATTGCATACTTGCACACGTGCTGCATCCCCAAACTGTGGAAGGTTTGTGTGAGTTCGGTTTGTTTTTAAGTGGGGATGCTTGCTTTTCCCAGATTATCAACAGCTTCTTCATGTAGCCTTCCAATTTGTTGTCCTGTACGGACTGAGCCTTGAGATCTAAAATATAATCCTCTTTATTTTCTCCTTCGGAAATAAAATTCTTCCAGGCTGGTACTGGTTTTTGTCAGGAAAGTTAAAAGCTCAGTCCGCTTATTAAGCATCCTCTTAAAACGTCGGATTACAGGACCAGCACTCACTTCCAATTCATCCAGTTTTTCTACATTCCAAGACTTAACTAGCTTTCCAACCTCCCCCTGGCCCATCAGAATATTTAGAGGGTAGTGAGAATTAGTTTATATTACTCGCGAAGGTGGAAAGTCGCGAGGGGGGGAACTCGCCCCATTTGAAGTAAAAAAGTAATCAACAGTCTATTTGATCCGTTTTAAATTTTATAAGCACTGCTGCCCCCACCCCCTTATTACAAGCGAGGTGGACCGTGGCCACCACCCTAAAGGGCGTGTAGTCCCTTTTGGTTGTTGCTACGCGCTCAGTGCACATGCTCATTGGTTCCTTCCGCTTATAGGAGGGAGAGAGGGCAGGGGGCGTGGCTGCACCTGACGCGCTACAAGCGAGGCCACGCGGTGACGTCACTACGGGAGTGCGTGAGGGAGGCGGAGTCTAACTTTGAAACTAGTTGGCGGGAGTGGCGGCTTGGAATGGAGCGGTGGTGGCTGCTGCAGGTTCTCGTCTGACCCGGTTTAGTATGGAGCCCACTTCGGGAAGCGGGAGCGATTGCGGAGGAGGAGCGGCGACTGGGGAGTGCGTGAATCGGATCCCTGTGCCAAGACCGCCCTCCATTGAGGAGTTCACGATTGTGAAGCCCATTAGCCGTGGCGCTTTCGGGAAAGTATATCTGGGACAGAAAGGCGGCAAATTGTATGCAGTGAAGGTAGGAAATCCTATAGACCAGGGAGAGAGCCCGGCCCCTTCCCTTGGGCAGATCCACCCGCGCCTGGAGCCACTCGTCGGGGTGGTGGTTGGCCTTGAGTCTTAGGAGCTCCAGTGACACTAGCAGGCAAGGGGCGGGGGAGGGGCTAGCCGCTACCCCGCCCTCCTTTCTGGATCAGTGGAACTGCTAGAATAGAAAGTTAGCAAATGAAGAAACTGCAGCCAAAGACAAAGTACAAGGGCTTTAAAGTCACAGCCCAAACTGTTAATCAGGCTTCTAAATCCAAAAAGGTTTTATACTAGTTAGTGGTTTTGTTTATGTTGTCTCTGGAAGTTTGACATCCTAGTGAAGAATTTTTGTTAATAATAGGCAGACAGCTATTACTGGGCTCTAGTCAGGAGACAGAGACACTGTTTTCTGTTAAATCTGTTGCAAAGCGTTTAGATACTGGTGACACTGTGGGTTAGGCGTTGGGCTGCTAACCGCAAGGCAGGCAGTTTGAATCCAGCAGCAACTCCACAGGAGAAAGAGTCTGTACACTCCCCTAAAGATTTAGTCTCAGAAATTCTTTGAAGGGCCAGTTTGTATCGGAATCTACACAATGGCGGTAGGTTTTAAAAATTACTATTATCTGCTCATTTTAAGTGTTTTCTTGATCCTTTTTATGGTTTAGACTTTAACCAGGATTTGTTTGAAACAGGCATCTCATTTTTTTCCTCATCAAATCTCATTATAAAACCTTGAGTCTACTTTTCTACATTTCTAGAAACAAAGTAAAATCAGTAGGTAATAAGTATCAAGATTTGGCAGAACTATGTCCTCTGTCCTTACAATAAACAAAAAACCAAACTCACTGCCATGGAGTCAATGTTGACACAGAGAAACACTCTCTCCCTCCCAGGGGTTTCGAGACTGTTTACAGAAGTAGAAAGTCCAGTCTATCTCCAGCTGCTGATAGTTTCCGACTGTTGACCATGTGGATTGCAGCCCAATGCATAGCTACTATACCACTGGGGCACCCTATTCAATAGTAAACCTCTATCAAACTTGTAATGTATGTAAACTGTGATCTGCAAACTGGCTCGCGAGCTATATGGAGTTCTTTAAGTTCGTATATGTAGCTCTGAAGTAAAATTGAAAATGAAAATAAACCTATTACTTAGATAATGGTAATTGTATTCTTCGTTCGTAAACATATATTAACAACTGGGATAACTTTTTAAAAATCACTTTATTGGGAGCTCATACAACTCTTATCACAAATCAACCCATCTATCCATTGTGCCAAGCACAGTTGTACATTTGTTGCCATCATCATTTTCAAAACTCTACTTGAACCTTTGGTATCAGCTTCTCATTTTTTCCCCTCCCTGGTGAACTCTTGATTATCTATAAATTATTTTTTTCCCATGTCTTATACTGACAAATGTTTCCCTTCACTCACTTTTCTGTTGTCCCCCTGGGAAGGGGTTATATATAGATCATTGTGATTGGTTTCCACTTTCTACCCCACCTTCCCCTTGCCCTCTTGGTGTTGCTACTCTCATTATTGGTCCTGAGGGGTTTGTCTGTTTTGGATTCCCTGTGTTTCCAGTTCTTATCTGTACCTGTGTACATGCTCTGGTCTAGCTGAATTTGTAAGGTAGAATTGGGGTCATGATGGGGGGGGGGAGCATTAAAGAACCAGAGGAAAGTTGTATGTTTCATTGGTGCTATACTGCACCCTGACTGGCTCATCACCTTCCCGCGACCCTTCTGTAAGGGGATGTCCAATTGCCTACAGATGGGCTTTGGATTCGGATAATTTTTAAATTGTTGGGAGGGACAGGATTGGTTCTTCTGCCTCAAAAGTTTGCTACCCACTGAATAAACTATTCTGCCTGCTTTTGGTTTTCATTTACTTGCATGGTTTCAAGTTGCTCAAATGTCAGCATTTTACTGAGAGGAAGTGATTTATCAGTGTTTAAAATGAAAGGATAAGTTGGTAGTCTGAATGTTAGATACAGTTGTTGTTTTTTTCCAAATGCAGTTTCAAGCTCTTGTTCTACACTGCCATGTGCATATCTAGCAACCCCTTCAAATTATACTGCTTAAGCATTAACAGTTCTCTCCACCTTACTACTTTAATTCTGAGCCTACTGTATTCCGCCTTTCATTGACCACCATCATCCCTATCACTCAGACCAGAAACCCGAGTCATTTTGGCTTTCATTTTAGCTGTTTGTCCTATCTCAACTACTCCGGCCAGTTCTGTCTCGGTGATCTTTCTCATAGTCCTTTTACCTTTATCTTTCCATTTCCAAGTACTGTAAAGAGCTTCATTTCTTCATCAGATAGTGGTGTAACCACCCACACAGTCCAGTTCAGAATATTTCTATCACACTGAAAAAGTTTCTGTGCTGTGTCCTCTCCCAGGTAACCACTAGTCTATTTTCTATCTCGGTGTTCTCATCAGTTGCTATGGAGTTAACGGTGATTCATGGCAGGCTTAAGTAAGAGAGATTGAAACATTGCCCCACGTTGCATCATCCTCACCATCTTTGATGTTTGAGCCGGTTATTGCAGCCATTGTGCCTATCCATCTCACAGTCTCCTTTTTTGCTGACTGACCCTATACCAAGCATAGTATCCTTCTCAAGTGGTTGGTCACTTTTAAGAACATGTCCTTATTTTAAGGGGAGAAAGATGGGGCTTTCTATGACAGTCTTGGACACTCTTTGGGCAATCCTATAGAGGTGCTGAGTCGGCACAACTCGAAGGCAGTGAGTTTGATTTTTTTTGGTTTTATTTTTAAGGAGTGTTTTGGCTGTACAGCTTGGAAGACTGATTCTAACCCTATAGATTTCCCTTTTCTAGATATTTTATATAAAGGGATCATATAATATGTGGTCATTTACATCTGGCCTTTTTCACTTAACATGTTTCATCCATCTCCTAGACTAGGCCCCTAACTGGAAATATTTTCTTTACCATACATGGGAAAGTCCAAAGTCCTTAGAAAGCAGTCATGCTTCATGTTCAGATTTTGACTTCCACTTTTCCCTTACATGTATTCTGCCTTCTATTCCCAGCAGAAAATTAATTAGTTCCCGAATGCCATGCATTTTTCCTGCCTCTAAGGTTATGTTAGACGTCCTGGCAGTTCACGTATATGGCTGCTAACTGCAAGATCAGCAGTTCGAAACCATGAGCCTTTCCTAAGGAAAAAGACTGTGCTTTCTATTGCTGGAAAGAGTTACAGTCCCAGAAAGTCATGGCAGCAGTCCTACCCTGTGTTACGGGGTCTCTGTGAGCCAGCATGGACTCAATGGTAGTAAGGTCATGTTGAGACTCATTCTTTTTGTTATTTTTTAATGTAAGCTATTTTAAGGCTGCACCATACATATAGGTTGTTAATTAGAACTATTTTCTCATCATACATTAATTCAGTTTTTGCTGTTATAAATAACATTGTAATGAATAACTTTATGCATAGGATATTTACTATATACTGTATATCTTAATTTTTATTTACTAGATTTTTTTAAAAGATTTTATTGGGGGCTCTTACAGTTCTTATAACAATCCATACATCATTTATATCAAACTTATTTGTACATATGTTGCCTCATTTTTTTAAACATTTACATTCTAGGTGAGCCCTTGGAATCAGCTCCTCTTTTTACCCTCCCACCCTGATGACCCCTTGACAAATTATAAATGATTATTAATTTCATATCTTACACTGACCGCTGTCTCCCTTCCCCAAGGTTTCTTCCTTCTTCCTCTTCCTACCTTTCCCCCATTCTCCTGGGAGTATTTCTGTTCCCAAGGGCTTTATCTGACCAGGATTCCATGTGTCCTGAGTGCTTATCTGTACCTACGTACATGCTCCAGCCTAGTCGGAAGTGAAAGGCAGGATCAGGGTCATGATAGTGGGGGGTGAGGAAGCCTCAAGGAACCAGAGGAATATTGTGTGCTTCATTGGTGCTATACGTCACCCTGGTTGACTCATCCCTTCCTTGAGACCCTTCTGAGGGGGTGTCCCATTGGGTCTCTGCTCCGAGGCCCCTCGTTCTCAACAATATGTTTTATTGTTTCTTTTGTTTTTGGTCTTCTGATGCCTATTACCTGAACCCATCGACACCTCATGATCACACAGGCTGGTGTGCTTCTTCCATGTGTGCTTGTTGCTTCTCTGCTAGATGGCCGCTTGTTTAACTTCAAGTCTTTAAGACTCCAGACGTTATATCTTTTGATAGCTGGGCACAATCAGCATTCTTTCACATTTGCTTGTGCTCCCATTTTGTCTTCAGTGATCGTGCTGGGAGGGTGTGCATCACAGAATGCTAGGTTGTTAGAACAGTGTTCTTGCACTGACGGAGGGCTTGAGCCAGAGGCCCAAAGTCTATCCACTTCCTCAATGTATTGCCATGTAAATATATGTACCTATGCCAATACCTCTATTTTTATGAATCAATATATTTACATAAGTGCACACCTGTGTTTATACCGCTATCCATAGCTTTGCTTCCTATATCTTTCATCTATTTCTTTTTACCTTCCTCCTCTCCCACCATCACACTCGCCCTTCTTCTGCCTCTTAGTAATTCCTCTCAGATAGATTGCTGTTGCTCCAACACCCCCAGGATCTCTATGTCCTCCTTGTTGTTGATTTTAATTCCCTAGTTGTTCCCCTGCCTATGGTGTTGTTTGCTCATGGCTCCCTTCCCCGTCTCCTCCTCCTCCCTCCCCTAAGTCCCTCTGGAAACTTCGGTCCAGTGGCTTTCTCGGATGTGCTCCCCATGCCTATCTTGTCAAAGGTAGGCAAGCCAACAATAATGTAGACAATACAAAAAGAAAACCAAAAATTGAATAAAAAGAAAAATAATAACTAGTAATATATATATATATATATATATATTACCTAAAAAACCAAACTCACTGCCATTGAGTCAATTCTGACTCATCAGGACCCTGTAGGGCAGGGTAGCACTGCCCCTGTGGGTTTCTGAGAGTGGAACTCTTTGTGGAAGAAGAAAGTCTCATCTTCTCCCATGGAGCTGATGGTGGTTTGAACTGCTGACTTTGTGGTTAGCAGCTCACTGAGTCATTAGAACTCCACATGTACTATAATTATAAGCTCCATAGTAAAATATTTGTAAATATTAACATATGTTCTTTCATCTCTCCATCAACTACTCCAATATACTATTATTGCTTCCTTTAGCTCCCGTTTGTTTTCCTCCATGCTTTTTATACTTCTGTCCCTTTACAGGATAGTTGGGTATCATTGTGATACTGAAGACTGTGGTGTAGATCAATAGAGATAACAGATAAAAGAAACAGATCCAGGGGGAAAAGGCAAGAAAGAAAGTAAGTCAGAGACTACTCTGGGTGGAGAAAGGTAAAAGACCTTCCACTGGGAATTTCAAGGTGTTCCCTTAGTCTTCCCTCATCTAGTTGCAAAAGAGGGCCATCCAACAGATCAATAAATACTAGGCTTGACATAGCATTAGGTCAGTGTTGTCAGAGATATTCATCTCTACACCGCTACATACCCCCAGCCAATTCATGACAAGTGGAACAATACATCTTCACTGAAGAAGTCATTTCCATTGTAAATTAGTAACATACAAAAACCACTCCTGTGTGTATGGAATTTTTGGAGTACAAACCACCCTCAGAGAGCCTCACATCATATGGTTAATTTAACTTGGACAATTCAGGTGCATCATTCAATTGTAAGGAACGAAAGAGGTGTTGAGTAATGATGAGTTGGGACATGGAAACTCATGATCATTTAAAAATTCTTA